TACTTACAGAAAATGTGCATGTTTACCTAAGACTCCATTCCTGTCTCGCTAACTATCCTAATCACATCTTTTTTGGGGGGATGTGAGGTAGGAAAGCCTGGAAATTACCAAGCAGTGTTCAGGAGGTTCATGTGTGATTCTCCAAGGCATTCATGACCCTGGATATTTGGGCTGCTAGCTAGATTCCCAGGTGGGCAAGGCAATTGGTGCTGCTTGAGCCTTTCAGTGCTGGGGATCTCCAGAGGCCACAGGGTGTCAGAGAGAGAATTCAAGGCCCATGACTTCAACAGAATCCTTTGATCCAACTCCCCAGTGCCACCCAATAATACTTTCATAGCAAAGGCCCTGGTCCTGGATCAGGTTTTCCATTACTTGATGTGTCATCTGAGTCACCATCAAATGAGAGCAAGTGCTTCACTTGCACAAAAGTAAAGGCTTATGGATTTCTGATCTTATCTGAATTTATAATTGTTTTTGAATTGTTTTTTCTGATGACTGGACTTCAGCACTATGCTTTTGGTTGCCATATCATTGCAAGGGTGCTGTATTCTCCTTGTCTCTCATGAGCTGGTGAGTGACATCCTTTTTTCTCGTCACTAGTGATGTTGACTTTGATCACTTGCATCAATGCTACTGACTGGTGTTCAGAAGAAAAACATGAAAACTATGGAAATAAGAATTTCTCATTTTAATTTTATACCCTAGTTTTAGCATCTATGTTTTCTCTTTATTTTGGCTGATTGCGATTATTATTTAAATTATTGCCAAACAGTGATTTAATATTCATTAATTTCTTCTGCATTTATAAGTTGTAAAACTAGGCTTCTGTCCACTGATTTATTACTTATTTATATCAGTGTGGATTCATATTTTAGCCAGGGAGATGTCATATGACTATCATTGATGATTCGGTTGTCTCAGAATTGGGTAGCAGGAATGGCAGAAAGCTGGGCTTCTGAAACACCCCATCATTCTCTGAGAAAATCTTACTCTTCAGTATAATAAGGTGTTTCAGACTCATAGTGTACCTTATAGCCCAAACTAAATTCCACTCTATTTAAAAGACTTGCTTCCTTGCATTAAAAGCCAATGTGGTCTTGGATAGGGACAGGAACCCTCCGTAAAATTGGGTATTATTGCTTCAAGATCCTCTCAGAAAATACAGAGAGAAATGCTATTTGGGTATATACATAGAGCCATCTTTTAAAACAGACACTTATTTTCATATTCCTCTTTCTATTTGCCAGTCTGTCTTTTGATCTAATTCATACATTAACACTGATAAATTAAATCCTAACCAAACACCATGCAGTTCATTCTAGCTATATCCCTTTTCAATTATGGCTCCCTTTCAGGCAGTGAAGAACATGTTTCTAATTAGCGTCTTTATTTATTTCAAGAGTCTCCTGACTCTTTCTTGGCCTCCTACAGTCCCCACTCATAAATTCAAGCTTTCACATCAGCTAAATCATTAACTCTTGGCATAAATACTTTTACTTTTTCTTCTCTGCCTTTCTCTACACACAACCACAGAACTCTCCCACCTTATGCATAACACAATGACAATTGAATATTTCGGGAAACAATTTTAACAAAGGAGGAAGATAATAATTAGTAATTTGATCTTATCTGAATTAGGTGGGCTATATTTTCAATTAGTAAACCAGCTAAAGATATAGTTATACAGGGGCTGTAGAGACAGTACAGTGGGTAGGGCGTTTGCCTTGCATGCGGCTGACCTGGGTTTGATTCCCAGCATCCCATATGGTCCTTTGAGCACTGCCAGGAGTAATTCCTGTGTTCAAAGCCAGGAGTAACCCCTGTGCATTGTCGGGTGTGACTCAAAAAGCAAAAATAATATATAAATAGATAGAGTTATACAGTGCTTATTCTTTATTAAATTTAGGATATAATTTCCCTTTATACAATAACATTTATATAACATATAATGACATGTAATAATATGAGGGATAATTCGTCTTCATTAAAATTCATTTACAAGATCATTGTATACCTCTTGTATGAAATAATCTGTATTTGGTAATGGTTTCTATAACTCTTGAAGGAAAAACGTACAAGGTTACTGCACAAGGTACTTAACAAAGCCAGTTTTTGTATTTTTATAAAGACATTTAATGACAAAAGAGATTCACAAGATGCAGTGAAGATAAAAACCATATTAACAAAGGTTTGAGAATCATTTGCTTAAGAGAAATGATAGTACACAAATAACTGAGTCAGACCTTTAGATTATCAGAAAAAATACTGTCTCTATATTTGCTAAAATAATGTACTGAAAAACTGAACTGCTAGACAGCACATGACACTGCCATATTGTTGTAAAAATATGAGGCACTGCTTTGTAAGGAGTTTTCTTTCCAACTATTACTTTACTATTTCTCTGGGATAGTGCCTCTGTTCAGTGAATCTTTGCTCTGTTTTGTGCTCCAGTGTCTGCATTTACATTCTCGACCATATGAGATGGATGCTTCTTATTGTGAAACATCTTGGTCTGTCTGTTATCTGGAGTTTGTATCATTATGAGAATGTTTAAGCTGTGATATCAACCTACTTTGACATACTTATGTACCTTTTATCTTGTATATTTATTTTTCAAGATTCTTTGCAAAAGTGGAGGGGGATATTATCTTTTCCCCCCAATTTTACTTTATTAAAGCACCATGGGGCTTGAGCAATAGCACAGCAGGTAGGACGTTTGCCTTGCATGAGGCCAACCCGGGTTTGATTCCTCTGTCCTTTTCATAGAGCCCGGCAAACTACCAAGACTATCCCGCCTGCACAGCAGAGCCCGCAAGCTCCCCGTGGTGTATTCGATATGCTAAAAACAGTAACAAGTCTCATAATGGAGACGTTGCTGGTGCCCACTGGAGCAAATTGATAAACAATGGGAGGACAGTGCTACAGTGCTAAAGCACCATGAGTTTCAAAGTTATTCATAGGTGGATTTTGACATACAACGTTCCATCACTGATCTCATCACCAGCGTCAGCATCTGTCCACCAATGTTCCCAGGTTCTCTCCTCCCCTCACTCCAGCCCCAGCCTGCTTAGATGGGATCTTAAAATCAGTTGGTCCTTCTGCCAATATGCCTCCGTCCCTGCTCTGAGCTACCAAACTCTGTTTAGCTTTCAGACTAACCAATAATTTAGTAGGGCATGGAAATTTTATACCTGATAACTCAGTTCATTCATTTATAGAGTGTAATAAATCATTGGAATGTTTGGATTGAATTTTGAACAAATAGCTAGTGACCTCAAAGATATTTTGCTTTTCGACATATTTGAATCCCTTAGGCTTGGTGATTTGTATATGGGAAGTGTCACTCATTCCCTAATGAGTCATCATAGCAGACATTTCTGAGTTTGCAATTCAGTACAGTGACCACATTTATTTCCGCTTGTTGTAGGAACCATCATGAGGGAAAAGTAGTTGCTCATTGGTATTTTAATATTTCAGTCTTTGTGAAACTCATCTGATATATTGCTTGTTGAAGTCACAACTACAGCATTATAATGCTTTCTCTATTCATAATTCCAAAGTGTTTTTGACTGGGTAAATTGCAGTTACATTAAAATTGTTGATAAGTTGTGATTCTGCCTTCTAATTAGTAGTTAATGGTTTTCCCTCCCTCCCTCCCTCCCTCCCTCCCTCCCTCCCTCCCTCCCTCCCTCCCTTCCTTCCTTCCTTCCTTCCTTCCTTCCTTCCTTCCTTCCTTCCTTCCTTCCTTCCTATATCCCCCTTCGTGTGTATCAATAAGGCTCTTGATCTCAATCCTGTGTTACTGTGGGTACATCCAGCTGTGCTCAGGGATCATTCCTGGCTCTGTGCTCTGAGAGCACTCCTAGCAATGTTTGGGAGATCATATGAGTTACTGGGGATCAAACCCAGAAAGCCATGTGCAAGGGAAGCATTCTACCCTCTGTAGTATCTCTCCAGCACCTCAAATCACTGGTTTCATCTTTCATTGAATCTTGTATTTTCAGTCCCCTTTAATTCAGTTAAATCACAATAAACTTCAATCTCAATATGTTATTTCCTTTAGCTGAAATTAATGGTAATATATACTTCATACTTCAGTTTCAAAGAATCATGTATATTCTTTTACATTAGGTCAGGGCTTTCATTCATGTTTTTATTTGCTTCTTACTTTGGCCACTATTTTTATAGCCATACTCAGTTGTGGCACTAGTTAACTATACTATAATGTATAAGTTAAGCCTTATACTATAATGTATACTATAATGTATAAGGCTGGAGCGATAGCACAGCAGTAGGGCGTTTGCCTTGCATGAGCCAACATGGCCGACCCGAGTTCGATTCCTCCGCCCCTCTTGGAAAGCCCGGCAAGCTACCAAGAGTATCTCGCCCGCAAAGCAGGGCCTGGCAAGCTCCCCGTGACGTATTCGATATGCCAAACACAGTAACTACAAAGTCTCCAATGGAGACATTACTGGGCCCGCTCGAGCAAATCGATGATCAACGGGAGGGCCTTTACTTTTTTACTTATAATGTATAATAACAGTCAGAAAGACTTGAGTTGCAAATCAGATCTAAAACTGAGTAATAGTAGCATCTACTTCACCTACATCTTGAATATATTGAAAGAGGCAATGTACTATAGTGTTCAGACCAAATTAAGCATATATTTAGGATAAGTGCTATAAGATGAACTCCACTGAGCAAAGATCTGTGATTTTTATGTCCAAAGTGTCTGCTATAGCCTGGACTACAGCAAGTACACAATAAATATATATCAGCTGTTGCCATTGTTCTTATCATTTTGCTCTAATTCTTATCTCAGGACTTTCAAATGTAAAGATAAACAATAAGTCTATAAAACACGTAATGAAGAATCTGATGCTAATAAGAAATATAGCTAGAATTATTAGGGCTATAATTAGGCAAATGTTTGATATACTATAGTGTTTTTGTAAAGATATCTTCAGAAAGGCTAATGGTTTGTGTTTTGTTCTTCTCAGGCATCCTGTTCTCCCTGGTGGTGATGCTGTATGTTATCTGGGTCCAGGCAGTGGCAGACCTGGAAAGCTACAAAAACATGAAAATGAAAGACTGCGTGGATTTCACTCCTTCTGTTCTATATGGATGGTCATTTTTCCTGGCTCCGGCAGGGATATTTTTTTCTTTGTTAGCCGGTTTACTATTTCTAGTTGTTGGAAGACATATTCAGATACATCACTAATCTGCCTGTTGTCATTATATTTTCTTGAGTGGTTTTAAAAATGGAACATACACTTTTATTTTATTTTATGATGCCAGCATAGAAGTAGTTGATAAATCTATTTGAATTTGCCATTTTACTTGTGATTTTCTCTAACAAAATAATCCTAGCATTGATCTAGACATCAACATGTTTCTATCTTATCTAAGTGCTATAAAGATCCTTGTTCTTTAGGTGAAAAAAATAGGCCTCCCTTTCATTGAACTTCAATTTAAAAATTAATGAAAATTGTGAAAGTATAATCATAATTTAATACTATGTCATGGCTGAAATCAAGATTTTATTTAAACCCACTTCTTGGCATTCACTTCCACTGCTATTTAAAAAAAATCTTTGGGGAATGGTTAGGAATGGGAAATAAATGTTATATTAGAATTTACTCCGTAGTTATTCATATCCACACACACATTTACTAACTCCTCTAAACTACCTATTATTTAAAAATTGAGAGCAATTGTTCCTATAGCAGGAATCACACAAACTTGTCAGTTAAAATAGACCACGACAAAACCAAGAACATATACTTATTTATTCCACTTACCAAGAATGGTTTGGTTACTTAATTTTATTTACTTATTTGCATCTGCTTACATATATTTGGAAGTAGCAAATATGTACACCAAACTACACATAATGCAGATTGAATTTTTATGAACTTAGAGTGAGTTAGTTGTATATGGGATATGTTGAAAATACGTAAAAAAAAGCACCTTAGTTTAGTACATAATTCTATTTGATATTTAAAAATTGCCATTTAAAACTTATGTTGTTAATATGTCCAGCATGTGAAAATTTATTGATGAAACGTGCTTTTAATGGGTCCTAGCTACAAACTTTCAAAATACTTCCATATGAGGATGATAATAGCCTTGTTTTATTCAAATCTATGAAATACTAACTTTTCCAAGATTATATGGGTTGCAGTTCTTCTGATCATTTGATTCCATTCATGATTGTGCCTTGATTTCTTCATCTTTACAACAGGTATATCAACATTTATAGGTCTGCTGTTTCATCCTCCAGGAAGAAAAGGTTTTGCTGAGTAGTGGGGAGAATTCTTTATTATTTTCTAGTACAGATATTTTACATATCAAAGATGTTGTTTGGCAATAATTTTGATTGAAATCAAATCCATCTGAGAAGTCTTGAGTCTATTTGCATTTTGGAAGCCTTTGGCATGGGGGGAGTTTGGTGTGAAAGAGAAACAGAGAAACAGCATGGTTTGCTAGCTTTGTTCCGGGAGCGGCATTTTGCTCCACAGCTGTTGTGAATGGTGAAGGCACAACTCAGAGGCGAACAAACAGTAACCACCTAAAAGACGTGGAGAGGGAACCAGACCATTTTTCCATGTAACTGTTCCTATGATGGAGAGACTACTTGGGTCTTCTTGCATGCCTCCTACCTTTTAAACGTCGTTTCAGTGAGAGGCAGCTCTGAAGGAACAGCAAAGATCTGGAATACCTGCAGAACCTTGAGGACACTTGATATTTAGTGGCAGGACTGTAATAAAACTATGACAACAGCAAGGCTTCCGGGGTTAACTGGGTCCTCAAGTCACTTCAGTTATATCATTGATAATTTTATGATTGATACTTTCATTTTATTGTTTCCCTTTCTCTTTCTTTTTTTTATATTGCTTCATTTATTTTCTTGCTTTTGGCTTGATTATTAAACATAATGATGGGTTCTGTTATGCATATTGACTGTGATATTAAGTTATGGCATGCCATTAAGTTTTCCAGACGATGTTACATGTATTTGATTAGCTCATGTCATCTGTAAATACAATTCCTTTTTGTAGAACGTTGGAATGGAGCCTTTTTCTGGTGTATTATATGTCATTTAAATTTCACATTCAAGCTGCTTTTAGTAAAGATTTGAATATTTATAAATTTCAGATGGTTATCTTTACTTCCTAATACATTTATGCAGCTATCATACACTTATCGTAAGGCAATTAGCCGAATGTCTGATTGTGCGACACTTTTACACAAATCCACACTTTGGAAATAATTCATAGCTGTAATGCATCATCCGCATTAATTCAAACACATTTCCCGATCTACTTACCAGCAACCCACAGAAGGAATAAAGGTGAGTCGTGTTTGCTATGAAAGAGTAAAATACAGTTTAACAGAGTATATTCTTTTAATAGACTTTCATCTGATTTGAAATAGTATTTTATTTCTCTTTTCAATGTATTGATTACTTTTCAGAGGAATCCAAATTAGCTGTTAAAAATTTTTTTAAGAGAAATGACTTTGCTTCATAGTGTCCCAATTTAACAAATATGATATATTTTGTTTATAATTTTAGAAGAGTGAAGTAAGGACAGTGAGTGCCCTTTATAATTTGGGGAAGGCTGTAATTTTTTTGTGTTGTATTTGTCTGTAGGTTTTAAGTCAGGTGATAGCTAGCACAAACATTGAAACTGGCAGGAAAAATTAAAAACAGCATCTAAAAGATGGTTTTTAGTTTGAGGTCTGAGATAGGACTTAAATTATCTCTGTAAATTTATGATATGTTGTTATTGGTCATTTGGTTACTTTATAACTATGCTGTGACATAAATTGATTTGAAAACTAAATTTAACTAAAGATATAAAGGTTATGATGGAAGTGTCACTATTTGTTTTTATCTAGCTACACATGCTTGTATGTTACAAATCGGATATAAAGAAAAAAAAGACTGGATGGTGGCAATCAATATATTTAAAATGGGAAAATTTGAAAATTATCTTCTCAGAGAACAGTAATAGTGTTGTTTTCTCAGTGACACTTCAGTTATTTTATTCAATTAGTGATTGCATGCTTAGTTCAATGCATAAACTGCTTTATATTCTCATAAAAATATCAGAATTGGCTTTCAAAGGAACTTGGTATTTTAGCAGCTTTGGAAGATATGGATGCTAGTAAATAATGAGCTGTGTACAGGTCTGTAGGGGAGCATGGGGAGGAAGTGTGTGTGTGTGTGTGTGTGTGTGTGTGTGTGTGTGTGTGTGTTGGGGTTATGTGGAGACAAATTTATTATTGAGTCAAAGGATGGTTTCAGTCTAATTTTCGTGAGGCTCCATCAGGAGTGGGGGCACGAAGTTCATACCAAAAAGATAACATTTGTGAGGGAATTAAATATAAAGAGATATTTCCTCAATAATGATCAAATAAAGGTTGGGTTATTCAAACTAAAACTTAGTGTTCAAACCAAGACATTTGAGTAAGTTAGTATCATGCGCATTACAGTAAAGTTAATCTCAGCAAAAGTTTTATTCTAATGAATGGTGAATGGTGAGAGGGAAAAAAGGACCCAGTCAGAGCTTTGAGTTTCTGAGTTAGCTAATCAGGTAGGCACCGAGACTGTCTAAGGGGTGGAAAGTATTGTAAGGACAGTTTGTAAAGCACAGGAGATTGGAGATATACTAAAAAGTCCACTCAAAGTTTTGAAGCAGTATTTCCCCATAAATGTGTAGCTATGAGTGTGGAATATTTAAAGGGAAGTAGGAAAATTTAATTTTGTAAAACGATTTCTCTTTCAATAATATGAAGAATTATATAGTGTGTCTGATTTCTTTATTCTGCATATATGTAAATATAACATGAATGTCAATTTATACAGAGATTTGAATAGAATATATTTACTAATGAATATATGTATGAATACAAGTATGCATCATAAATATGTGTATTTACATGGCAAGTAAATAAATTAGAATGATTTCTAATTCAGAGTATTGACGATTTTCTCATTTGCACATATGACAAAAACTAAATTGGTTTTATAAAAAAAAGTGTAGTCGAGTAATTGATATCCTGCACTGATAATGAATACTTCATCTATAATTCAGGGGAATGAGGGCTTATTGGGATAAAACAGGCAAAAAAAAAAAGGTATAACAAGATATTTGTCAGGGCTGGAGATAGAGTATAGCAGGTATGCTTGTGTGCAACTGACCCAGATTCTGTCCCCGGAGCCACATATCCTGCTAAGAGTGATCCCTGAGTATAGAACCGACTGTAAATCCTGCACTGTCAGGTGTGGCTCCCTCAAAAAAAGAAAATTAGCTTTCTCTCTCTCTCTCTCTCTCTCTCTCTCTCTCTCTCTCTCTCTCTCTTCTCTCTCTCTTTCTGGGAGTTCAGGAGTTATTGTGACTTAACCTTCTGAAAATATAGGTGACTTCTCTCCGTTTATAGGACAATTCAGCTTTTGTTTTCTTAGAAATTTTTTTTTGTCATTAATTCTGAAGAGAGGGTGTCATTGTTAAAACAAAGCAAAACAAAAACCATCAAAGACTTCAGATAATATTGTTATTAAAAATGTTAAAGAAGTATTTAAATAATATAATTAAGTGGCAGTGCTTTGTAATGACCAGTGCTAATTGCCTCATATTTTGGTAGTGGTTATACAAAAATTTCTATGAGATATTTGCAGGTTGTACTTATATCCTAAAAATATGAGAATTATTTTTTTAAAAATTTATTTTATACATAAATATCTATGAGAGATTTCAAGCAGAAAATTCAGTTAACCTGTGCATTTTTATGTGGGTGTTTGCAAGTCGACACATACTCATACATATACATGTATAAACATTTAACACGTACTTTTGTATGTTTGTATTCATGTGATACATATAAACATGTAAATATCTACATAAATACATTTGTTAAAGAATATCTTAAAATATGTTTGTCAGTAAACATCCAAAGGCACACATAAACTTAATATTTTATACTAATATATAATTTCTATATTTTGTGTTTAATTATAAGACATATTTATATGTCTCTATATATCTAATATATATACCTCTCTCTCAAGCATTCCCAATCTCTTTAGATGTTATGATAAGAAGGGTACATTGCATATTTTTCCTGGCATAGAGTAGAGGTATGTATGTAGGTAATACTGTGATCTTTCTCCCTTAGATCAAGGGTAAGTGAGCGAAGTGCTCACGTGGACTGGTCCTAAGTTACCTTATGAAAAGCAATGGCAATGACACCTTTGAACAACTTCTAGCAGCTGAGGCCTATAAACTGATAGCAATTGACGAATATTTGTTTAATAGTTATAAACTGTGTTGAATAAAGTAATATCTTTCTATAGCAGCATGTCTCCATTGATGCATTCATTTTACTCTTTTGGAAAAGATAGAGTCAATTGTATTTCCCACAAACTCCTGTGTGGATAGCCAGAGAAAGACAGAGATATTAATGATAAATGTAGTAGTATCTGGAACCCCAGAGAGGGAAATGTTTGGAGAAGGGATTGGGTTGATACTTAGCAGCACTGCTGAATAGGTGAATGAAGCAGGAAAAACGGTGGCCTGTGAGTATGGAGGTTTAGAGTTTTTTTTTGTGACAATAACATTTTTGCATAGTAAGGTAAGTAGATAAGAAAGTCAGATTTAATTCCTTGTGAAGTTAAGGAGAAGTGGTAAGAGAGAGAGAGAGAAAGAGAGAGAGAGAGCGAGCTTGTTGGGTAACTTCTAAGAGAATATTTAGGGTGAAATGGGAGTCATAGATTTGGGTAGAAGATAATATGAATTTAAGGAAAAGCATTGTTCACACCTGGAAAAGTAAAACCAAGGTGTGAATTTAATTTTTGGGTTTTTTTTTTTGTCTTTTGGGGCCACAGTAGGTGGTGGTGTGGTCAAGATCTGTACTCAGCTTACTTCTAGATTTGTGCTCAGGGATCACTACTGGCAGTGCTCTGGGTGCAGGAGATAGAACGTAGATTGGATGCAACAAAATAAGCATCTTACCAGCTGCACTATCTCTCCGGCCCCTCTTTTGCTGCTTTTATTACTTGATTTTAGGGTGTCAGGGATTGCAACTAGGACCTCATGTAAGGCATGAGTTCTACCACTGAGCAAAACTCAGTCCTTAAGTTTTGTATTTTTATTTATTTTATTAACTTTAAAGATATTATTAGTTGTTATAACTTGATTACTTCACCACCATCTAATTTTCCAAGATATTCTGTCAATATCCTCCATTATTTCCAGTTGTGTCATCATCCATCCCTCACCATGCCCCCTCCACTCTCTTGGCTTTGTATTCTCAGTTCTGTAATTAAGAACCAGTGAGTTGTTGTGATTTGGTACTATCTATTCCCTTATTTTGTTTCCCTATACACATGAGTGAGATCATCTGGTATTTGACCTCCCTATGACTTATTTTGCTTAACACGATGTCCTCTAGTTCCATCTATGCTGCACTCGACTGCATAATTCCTTACTTACTTATGGCTGCATAATATTTCATTGTTTATACAAAGTACAACATCTATGCATGGGCATTTCAGCTGTTTTCATAGCCTAGCTATAGTACTAGATACTGCAATGAACATAGGTGTGCACATAATTTTCAAATTAATGTATTTGTGTTTGGGCATAGATGCCAAAAAATGGAACTGCTGCATCATAGGGAAGCTCTATTTTTTTTTCTTTTTGGGTCACACCCAGCAATGCTCAGGAGTTATTCCTGGCTCTGCACTCAAGAATTACTCCTGATTATGCTTGAGGGACCATATGGGATGCCGGGAATTGAACCCAGGCTGCTCACGTGCAAGGCAAATGCCCTACTTAAGGTATAGCATTTGCTAACTTCAAATTATACTGTAAAGCTTTGATAATCAAAACGTGATGGTGCAAGAATAAAATAGACACCGAGGTCAATGGAATAGCGTTTAAAACCAGAGACCACTCTCATATCTGGAGTAGTTTTTTTTTTCCTTTTTTTTTATTAGTGAAACACCATGAGGTACAGTTGTAGATTTACAATTTTTTGTGCTTGGGTTTCGATTATACAATGATCAGATACCCATCCCTCCACCAGTGCCCATTTTCCACCACCATGGATAATATCCCCCCCACCCCCATCCCCCCATCCCCCCTGCCTCTATGGCAGGGCAATCCCCTGTGTTCTCTCTCTCCTTTTGGGTGTTGTGGTCTGCAAAAGAGGCATTGAGTGGCAAACATGTTCAGTCCATAGTCTACTTTCGACATGCATCTCCCCTCCTGGGAGGATCCTCCAAACACCCTTTATTTGGTGCTCCCTTCTCTATCTGAACTGCCCTTTCCTCTAGGATACCCGGCTGGCCTCTAAGTTTTGGAGTAATCCTCCTGGTGCTGATCTCAGCTATTCTTGGGTATTAATCTCATATTTTGTTACTTTATATCCCCCAGATGAATGCAATCTTTCTATGTCTATCCCTCTCTTTCTGACTCATTTCGCTTAGCATGATACTTTCCATATTGTACCACTTGTATGTAAATTTCATGACTTCAGTATGGACGATTCTCAAAAAATTAGAAATTGAGCTCCCATTTGACCCAGCAATACCACTCCTGGGAATATATCCCAGAGAGGCAAAAATGTATAGTCGAAGTGACATCTGCACTTGTTTGTTCATTGCAGCACTCTTTACAATAGCCAGAAACTGGAAGAAACCTGAATGCCCAAGAACAGATGACTGGTTAAAGAAACTTTGGTACATCTACACAATGGAGTACTATGTAGCTGTTAGAAAAGATGAAGTCATGAAATTTACATACAAGTGGTACAATATGGAGTAGTTTATCTATGAAAAAGGAACTGGGAACACAAAGTGGAGTAAAGAAAGAAAATCCCCTTCAACACATTGTGCTAGAAAAGCCAGATAGCTAGATATGAAAAATAAAACTGGATCCATATCTCACATCATTAAAAAATTAATTCAAAGTTGATTAATAACCTGGAGATTAGAGCAGTCACCATAAAATAGATTAAAGAAAATACGGGCAGAACTTTCTAGAATATAGACCCTTGAGATTTATTAATGATTTGACTCCATTGCCAAAGATAACAACAGCAAATAAATGAGACTAAGGTAAAAGGTAAAGGTAAAGGTCCTCCCGTTGATCGTTGATTTGCTCGAGCGGGCCCAGTAATGTCTCCATTGGAGACTTTGTTGTTACTGTGTTTGGCATATCGAATACATGAGACTATATCAAATTAAATAGTTTTACATGGCAAAAGAAATTGTGCTAAAATAAAGACACTCAGCTAAATTTCATAAAGTAGTTGCACACAATACATCAGAAAAAGGCTAATATCTAATATTTATAAAGCACTCACAAAGCACAATAACAGGAAAACTTAATAATAATAAAAAATGGAGAGAAGATATGAACAAACAGCTTCAGAAGAAACATATGGATGGCCAATAGTCATATGGAAGAGTGTTCACCTCATTATCATTGGGGAAACACAAATCAAAAGGAGAGTTAGATATTTTACACACCAGTGAGAAGAGCATATATCAAAAAAGACAGGAAACAATTACTTTTGGCAGAGATATGGCAAAATGCTTGCGTATTTTGAAAAATATTCTGAACCTGGGGAGACAGATCAAATGGTATCTTACATATTTACATGTGGGAGACCTTGAACTTGATATCTGCCTCACAGGGCTCCCCAGTACAGTGGGATATGGCCTTGGTGGTCATAGTTGGTTGAGCACCTGGATCACTGGCCACTGACCCAAAGGCTCTGGACTTCCAAATTTGTCTTGGTATGGACCTTATTTAAAGAACAAAAAAGTTTCTATACGGAGAAATTCATTTCATGGAAAAAGACCGTAATTAAGAGTATTTATAAAGCATACCTGGACCAGAGTAATAGTACAGCAGGTAGAACACTTATCTTGCACTCAGCCTATGAGAGTTCTGTTTCTGACACCCCAGAACAACTCCCAGCATCACAGAAGTTATCAC